GGGAGGGGGGGGGACAGGAAAAAACAGACAGTCCTGAGAGTGGGTATCTACCTCTCCCTTTATCACTTCCAGGAAGAGGCGGGGCCAAACCCTGATTGGAGCCGCAGTCCTGGGGGTGGGGCCAAGGGTGGTATATAAGGGAGGCTTCTGAGTGACGCCAAGGAGGAAGAACCAGGGGCAGGGGGGCACACAGGGCCAGAGAGCAGTGTTCCCTCTAAGCTGAGTCAGTGTGAGCTAGCTCACAGTTCTTTAGCCTCTGGCTCATACATTTTTGTCTTCGCTCGGGAAGCAGGGTTACAGAGCACACGAATTCGCTCACAACCTTAATGCTGGTCGCTCACCAAGTAGAAACTTTGCTCGCGAGACTCCACGGCTCAGAGGGAGCATTGCCAGAGAGTGAGAGAGAGCGCAAGGGTGCGCTCCTTTGGGGGAAGGGTGCCGAAACCCCTTCCCCATCCCATTCTGAGGCCAGCAGGGTGGAATCTAAGCCCATACAGGAGGGCAGAGGGTGGGCAAGCCAGCACAGGGGTGGGAAGATACCAAAGCCAGGTCTGATAGGAACCTGGAATCAATGAACACAGCGTACATGGCTCATTCTGGAATCGATGAACACATCGTACATGGCTCATTCTGGAATCGATGAACACAGCGTACATGCGCCCACACACGCGCAGAGGAGGTTCTACGAAGTCGCTCGGCGGAGGTTCTACGGAGTCTCTTCAAACAAGAGCCGGTGTGGTGTGATGGTTAAGAGCGTCAGACCAGGATATGAGAAACCCGAGTTCGAATCCCCGCTCTGCCCTGGAAGCTTGCTGGGTGACCTCAGGCTGGTCACACTCTCTAGGCCTAACCTACCTCACACGGTTGTTGTGAGGATAAAGCAGAGGAATGTTCCCCAGAATCAACAGTGATATTTTAACTGCGTCCATCAGAATGGCTTACTGGGCACCGAGTTCCAGCTTCCTAAGAGTCTGCTTCTATTAAGTGGCTAGCCCTCATAACCAGGAACTTGGAAGAACGTATGAACAATTCCTGGCTAATTTTGAAAGTCAAAAATGGAAAGCCGAGCCGTGACCTGGATAGCCCAGGCGAGCCCGATCTCGTCAGATCTGAGAAGCTAAGCAGGGTCGACTGTGGTTAGTACTTGGATGGGAGACCTCCTTGGAATGCCACAGCGGGAGGACTGGGGGCAGGCTTCATTCAGCCACCTCTCTGAATATCCTCCACTCAAAATTACCTGTACTTCCCCCCCCCCTTGAGAACGAAAATAGTTTGGGGAGGGTATGGCATTTTGCAGCTACAAAATGGCAGGGGAGGAAGCAGTTAATCCCCCCCCCCCATTCTCCCCCTCCAAATGCAGCTTTAGGAGTTGCACCGAGAGTCACTGGAAAACACAGCCAGGCTAGGAAAAGCGGAAGACCCAACATGAGATGGATGGACCAAATCAGTCAGATTAGAACGGATAAAAGGAAGTCCTTCTTCACCCAGAGAGTGATTAACCCATGGAATTCACTGCCAGAGGAGGTGGTGGCGGCTACAAGCGTGGACGGCTTCAAGAGGGAATTAGATAAGCATTTGGAGCAGAGGTCCATCCGTGGCTATTAGCCAGAAGGTATAAATAGGAACTCTCAGTCTGGGGTAAGTGATGCTCTGTATTCTTGGTGCTTGGGGTGGGGGGGGGACACACAGTGGGAGGGCTTCTAGTGTTCTGGCCCCACTCACTGCTGGTCCTCCTGATGGCACCTGGTACTTTTGGCCACTGTGTGGGCCACGGGCTTGATCAAACATTGGCTTCCCTTACGTCCTTATGTTCTTAAGGAAGCCACAAAGGCCCTCCCATTTGCAAGACCTGAGCAAGGCTGTGAACGAGAGGACGTTTTGGAGGACCTGAATACATAGGATTGGTGTAAGTTGGAAGCCACTTGGCGGCGCTTAAGACAGACATGTGTGTTCTCCCCCTCTAACTTCAGCCATTGCATTTGGGAAGGGAACAAAGTCTTGTTCAACAGCGGGTCAATTCCACCTTCAGATGAAGCCGAAGTATTTTCTTAAAAGCAAACCCACGGCCGTTTTTACACGCAGGAGGCCCTTCTCGACTGGCGCCGTGGATGGAACTTGGCCGCTGCGTCCCAATGCAGAAACGCAACCCCAGGAATCAACGATACGGCTCCAAAGCGTTCGCAGCCCCCTCTTTCGCCCCGTCCAAAGCTGTGCCGTCCCCCTGATGGCAATTGAGGGGAAACAGCACCCCCTAAAGGAAAGGAAAGGACCCGCACGCGGCCCTCTTCTCAACCGACCATCCCTCTTGAAGGAAAAAGAAGAAGGGGACGGCAAAGAATGAGACGGTTAGACAGCGTTATCGATGCAACGAACATGAAACTGAGCAAACTCCGGAGCACGACGGAAGACAGCAGGGCCTGGAGTGACGGGGTCCGTGGGGTCGCGAAGAGTCGGACTCGGCTGTGCGACTGAACAACAACAACAACAACTTACCTGTCCTGCTCTTGCTATTCGTCAAGATCTCCTGGAGCCGCTCCTGGAGTTTGTCTGCCCGCTTCCGCTCCAGGTGGAGCTGCCGTTTGAGGTCCTTCAACTGTCGGGGGGAGAAAGGGGTGGGGTGGGGGGGTGAAACACCAGAGTTTAGCTCCACAACCTATTTTCAGCTTTTCACTCCCCCCCCCAAAGGAGAATAAGGTCACAGGACTGCGGCTAAAGGTGTGCTGAATTCCTTTTCCTTGCAGTGATGGAGCACAGCGATTCGGCCCCTGGGGACAGGTTCGAGATGAGACAGTTAGACACCACAGGATTAGATGGTTAAACGGGAGAGATTGAGATCAGGGGTTCCCAACTTATCTAAGCCTGCAAGGACCTTTGGAATTCTGACAGTGCATGAGTGGGCGCATGCACAAAATGGTTGCTGCAGAGGGTGGAGCCAACCCCAAAAATGGCAGGGTGTGCCATGATTCGCAGTTCTGTGAGTAAATGTTCAGCATTTCAGGCAGATGCTCTTGAGAGAACAGCTCTGAAATAACTTGTGACTGACCCAAGGTCACACCAGCAGCTGCGAGTGGAGGAGTGGGGGAATCAAACCCGGTTCTCCCAGAGTCCGTGCTCTTAACCACTTAACTGGCTCTCACATCAAACTGAGCCCCGGGGCCTCTCAGTGCAGACGACCGGGCACCGACTGGAGATTGTGGGACGCCTCCGACAAGGCGGGCATCGGAGCCCTGGGCGACATCAGCAGTGGGCTCAGACGCTCCACGTGGGGGAGAGAGGGGGGACGCTCGGCAGCATAGGAAGCACATGGGAGCCCCGATCTTAAAAGGGGCGTGGCTCTGAACCCTAACTCTGGCACTCCGCCCCTCCGATCCAGCCCTCTGCCCTTTGGCTGGCTCGGCGGGAGGAGAAGGTAGGCAGGGGAGCAAACCACAGACGCCCGTTAAGCACAAGGCACCGCAACAGCTCTTTCTTCTGACGCACTTCAGCCCCACCCCCCAGGGGGGGCAGGGGGACCCGTGGAGCGCATCATCCCCGTATCAGTCACGGCCACTCCTTCGCCTCCTTTCCCGCCCCGGGTGCCTCCAGCGGGGACTGCAGTGCGTCACTGCGGTGCGGGACTGCCCCTGGGCCATGCCACCTTCTCGCTCTTTCTGCTACGGGGTGTGTTCGGTGGGGGGAAGCGAACCCCGGGGGAGTCTTCTCGCCTTCCAGCTCACCAGAGAAGGGATTTGCTGGGAGAACTGGCTACGGCCAGCAAGACGGGCAGACGGAGTTCAGGGATTTGGATCCATCCCTCCGCTGCCTCTGCCCTGCCTCGCTCAAACACCCAGACGCGCATGCGGACACGCACACGCCCTCCTCCCCAATGCCCTGGGGAAATCGCCTCGCTCACCGCCGCGCTCCCTTTCTTCTCCAGGATCCGCTGCCCGTCGACCGTGTCCTTCACCTCCTGCAAGAGACACCGGGGCTGTCAACGTGTCCTCCCTTCCGGACTCCCGGCGCCCCAGAGGTGTCAGAGTGCGTTTCCGACAAACTTTAAAGGCCGGAAAAACACCTGACAGCTCTCTTCATCCTTCAAACCACCAGCCCCCGAGGGAGCACCGCTACTGTTATTAGTAGGATGCGGACAGAACGGAGCGGGTGCAGAGGAGAGCGACGAGGAACATCGGGGCCCGGAGACCAAAAGCCCTATGAAGAAAGGCTGGGGGACTTGGGGATGTTCAGTCTGGGGAGGAGGAGGTTGAGGGGGACAGGATGGCTCTCTTGAAGTATTTGAAGGGCTTTCCCTTAGGGGAGGAGGAGGAGGAGGAGAAGAGGAGGAGGAGTTTGGATTTATACCCTGCCCTTCACTACCCAAAGGAGTCTCAGAGCGGCTCGCAAACTCCTTCCCCCTCCCCTCCCCCCAACACACACCCCCCGGGGG